TGCTGCCTCCTGCTGCCATCTCCCTTACAGAGCCCTCATGAGGCACCACTCCCGTCAAGAGCTTGCCAAGGCCGCCTGGCTTCCCTGTAACCCCATGCCTCTTTTCCTCAGGAAGGATAGACCCAGGCCCCATTTTTCAGCCATCCCAGGTCCAGGCAAGGCCTTTGCCCTGCCAGCTCAGGGTCTTCTGTGAAGATAGGTTAGAAGAAGGGACCAGAAGACACATGCAGTGACCCTGGAAGCTTCGAAGAGCTTTGCACACGCAATTGTCACTTACACATGTGTGCCAGTGACACCTGTGCACACTTGTGAGCCACCATTCCCTGAGGACAAGAGGAAGCTCCAGGCTCCTGCGTCACTGCCTCAGAGCCGGGCCAGTACTCTGGGCGCAACCCTGGCTCCAGCTCCTCTGCTTTTCCCAAAAAGCCCAGAGAGGCCTGAGCATTCTTATGTAGGGACACTCAGGCCCTTCACGTAAGGCTTGACCTCCTTCACTCTCCTCTGGGAACAGGAAGTGTCAAAGGGCCTCACAGGCAGCCCGGATGTACCCCTGGGACAACAGCTGAGGCCTTGCCCCTAGGGCATTCAGGGGACACTGTCACTCCCACAGTCTCCTTTGCCCCCCTGGCTCTGGGCCTTGGAAACAGTCCTGCTAAGCCACCCAGACTCTGTGGTCCACAGTAGACCGTTTACATACTGGCCAGTTGGCTGACGGGCTGCTGGATACAAGATTGGGGAACAGAATGCAATAACCCAAATCTAACCACACCAGAAAGGCACTCAGAAAACTTCGAGGGGCCGTGGAAGGGAAGCCTCATCTTTACACAGCTCTCTTGACCCCTGTACAAGGGTCACTGTGGGAGGGGACCGTAAATTACAGCATCCTCAGAAAATTCTACATGGCACAAAGAATACGACTTTACTTTCCAAGTTGTGGAGTCCCCCTTCTAGTCACATTTTCTAGCCAAAGGTTCCACTACTTTAAAACATTTGGTGGGAAAATAATGTTGGGACATTGTTCTTAAGGGAGGAAAATCTGCTTGGTTTGAACTCAACTCTAATATGCAGAGCAGTGGATGAGCTTATGTCACAAAGCAGGATAAGGACAAATGGGCTAATTACATCTTATCTGAAGACAAATTTACTTGGCATAGGAGCAGGAGCCATTATTTCACAGAAAAAATGACCCAGATATATAGTAATGACAGCAGCCATGGGAGCCAGGCATGCCTTCAAGTCAGTCTACATGAATGGCAGAGAACAAAAAACCTGACTCCCTCCCCTAGCAGCCATAAACTATAAATAAGGCCTAGGATTTTTATTAAACACACAGAATGAGCAGGAGTCAATTATAACCAATCACTGAATGAAAACTTAGACAGTGGTCTTTATACACTCACATGTATGAGTAGGAAGGAAGATTGCTAAAAGAGAAGTTTAAAGTTTGATGAACTGTGCCACTGTGTTCATAGCAACACCATTTGTAACAGCCAGAACCTGGAAGCAACCTACAGGCCCCTCAACTGAAGAGTGGGTAGAGAAAATGTACATTTACACAACAGAGTACTACTAAGTGGGAAAAAAATGGAAACTTGAAATTCGCAGTCAAGTGGATGGAACTAGAAGAAACCATCCTGAGTGAGGTAACCCAGTCACAAAAAGACAAACATGGTGTGTACTCACTCATATATGGATTTTAGACATAGAGCAAAGGATTATCAGCCTACAGTACACATCACCAGAGAAGCTAGGAAACAAGGAGGACCCTAAGAGAGACATACATGGTCCCCCGGACATAGGGAAAGGGGACAAGATCTCCTGAGCTAATTGGGAGCATGGGAGGAAGAGAGAAGGATTTAGGAGAAAGAGTAGGGGAGAAGAGGAGGATATGAGGGAGCAGAAAGATTGAGTCAGGGGAGGAATAGAGGAGAGCAAGATAAGAGATACCATAATAGTGGGAGCCATTATAGGTTTGGAGAGAAATCTGGGAAATGTCCAGAGATCTACAAGGATGACCCCAACTAACAATCTAAGCAATAGTGGAGAGGCTACCTTAAATGCCCTTCCCCTATAATGAGACTGATGACTACCTTAAATGCCATCCTAGAGCTTTCATCCAGTAGCTGATGGAAGCAGAAGCAGACACCCACAGCTAAGCACTGAGCTGAACTCCTGGAATTCAGTTGAGGGAGGAGTGATGAGCAAAGGGGTCAAGATCAGGCTGGAGAGACCCAAACAAACAACTGACCTGAACAAGGGGGAGCTCATGGACCCCAGACTGATAGCTGGGAAACCAGCATAGGACTGATTGGGACCCCCTGAACGTGGATGTCAGTTTGGAGGTCTGGGCAGTCTATGGGGCCTCTGTTAGTAGATCAGTATTTATCCCTAGTATACGAATGGACTTTGGGAGCCCACTCCACATAGAGAGATATTCTCTCAGCCTAGACACAGGGGGAGGGTCTAGGCCCTGGTCTAAGTGATATGACAGACTTTGAAGATCCCCCATGGAAGGCCTCACCCTCCCTGGGGAGCAGAGAGGGGATGGGATAGGGGGCCAGGGGGGCCAGGGAAGGGGAGAGGGAGAGGGAACTGGGATTGACATGTAAAACAAGATTCTTTCTAATTTAAAAAAGAAAAAAGGTTAGATGAAATATGGCTGATGCCATCCAAGGCTTACACGCTATACAGATGTTACAGAATTTGCATTAAGGAAGCCCAGCAGCCCAGCAACCCACAACGCAGGGTACTGCTTCCTGAACGTCTGACACAATGGGTCCACCACACAATGGCCTGGTTAGGGCCAAGGCACCTATAATTAGCTTTCAAATGAGCACACTGGGGATGGCATACAGAGCCTCTCTCTGACAACTTCCCCACACACCCCTCAGCTATCCCAAGCAGCAGAGTTGCAATCACAAGTTCCCCCATGCTTCAGGTCATCAAGTGATTTCAGCCTCTAGGATGTCCCTATTCAACTTTATTAGAGTATCATTTGCAAAGAAGATGGCCCTACTGATATATGACACATACATGATTTAAAACAATACTGTTCTTGCATCTATACATGTATAGACACAGACAAACCCACCTCCATTTCTAAATAAGCACCTATAGTCTACTAGAGTAGAAACCCCCCAGGATGCTAGTAAAACTAGCTAGATCTGAACCTCAGAGCTCATCTGACTCCTGGTCAAGGGTTCCTGGCTCCTTCCCATGTGAGTTGATGATCCCAGGGCCCGGGAGTCTACATGCTCAACAAATGTTGAAGGAAGACAATGGAAGAAAACAAACGCCCTTAAAGCACAATTGCATTACTGCACACAGCGTCCCCTGCAGCAGTCTCTGCCGAGGGCTGGCTCTCGCGGCCTCTTCTGTGCCCCTCCCCGTCTCTTCATGTGGTTTCTGTGTGTGATGTTTAGGACCCACCTGCTCCCCCTGCCTCAGTCTCTCAGAGATGCCAGTTCCTGTGCCTGGAGACTCACAGCCTGGACCAGCACAGGCATATCACGACATACTCCTCACCTCGCCATCTCAGTTTCCGCACCTCTCTATCCCCGGACCACACAGGCAGCCTCCACAGTGTTTGTGCTCTGTGCCCGCCCGCCCTTCGACGCCACAGTGAGTCTGTTCTCTGTATCCCAGAAACCAGTTCTATTCCTGGCTCAGAGCTGACAATCAACAAGATTTACTAGCAAGTACAAAAACTGGCTGCTTGGGCCTGTGCAGGTCAGTTAGAGTCAAGTTCCTTGTGACGTCAAAACGGGCTTCAGGTGCCACTGTGGTACAATAAGATGATAAAGACACTGAAACATTCCCATTGCCTAGTGACGCCAAAGCTGCCACGGTGTCACTGTACAACCGCTTTGCTCACACACCTATGGTAGTGCTGGTGTAAAAACTCGTAGTTTTTAACCAGTCCTAAGAAAGTCCATCACCTGCAAGTGTACAGAAGGTAAGACTTGCAAAAATGACTATTGCTTATCTATGTGTCTGCTATACTATGCTCTTTCATCTTTAATTTAGGATGTACCCTCTACCCTCCCTCTCTGTATGCATGTGTATGTTTGCACGCACGCATGCGCGCACGCACGCACACACGCGCACACACACACACACAATTTAATTTAAAACATAAAGCAGTGAGAGCTGTAACTCAGCTTGTCAAATGCTTGCCTAACATGACCAAGATTCTCAGTTCACATAAACCAGACATGGTGGCACATACCCATAATCTGGAGCAAAGGCAATGATGATTAGGAGTTCAGGGCCATTGGTGGCTATGCAGTGACTTTGAGGCCAGCTTAGACCACATGAACAAAACAAAAAGGCAGCCTATTATAGGCCTGCCACAGTACACAGGAATGTCGCATGACAGCCTGTGCATGCATGTAGATGAGCGTCAGTACTCTCTGGACACTGCCTAGGGCTCACGGCAGCACATGGGAGACGACATACAAGAGGACATGGTACACATGAAGACAGATCTCAGCCCCCGTCTGGAGTGCAGGTGTCCCTTCTGTGGAACTCAAACGGTGCCTGGGAGTTGGGTGTGACAATGCCTGTGACCACCTCCAACGCGGAACAAGCTCTACACCAGCACAGTTCTTGGAGGCAGGCAGTCCCTGCAGGCAGGCCTTGTTGCCTAGTACAACAGCAGGCCTGTGGCCTTGGGACTCTGGCCTACTTGCAGGCTATGCAGGCCAGGAAAGAAAGGAGCCTGTAGCAACAGAGAACCACCAGGACAAACAAGAGGCGGCATCTGGGAGTTGGACCCTTTGAGGGTTTGAGTGCATCCAGTAGTGAGCCTGTAGGCCGTTGGGCTGGGATCCCACTCCAGTCCTACAAGACAAGGCATGAGGTTGCCTCAGCCTGGGAAGAAGAGCCATGTTGTTTCAGAGTCATCCCAAGCTGTCCTCTGTGGTGTGGCTGACCCCTCTACCTGCTCTCTAGGAGCCTGCTCTGTGAGCCCGTTCCTCTGGTCTCATTGTGATGCTTACCTTCTTAATGAACTCTGGGATGAGCTTCTGGGCTGCCAGGTGTTCTAAGGAGGAGCACTCATCCAGTTCCAAGATGTAGCCTTCATTGTGAAGCTCGGCCTTCTGAGACCTGAAGAGAGAAACAAAGGGTGAAATTCTGCACCCTTCTTCTATAAAAAGAATCACGGGTTAATTAAGTCCCAAATATTTCATGAATGCAACTGACAAAACAGCACTGCTGACAAATAATTTATGGTAAATAACTAGACACACACACTCTCATATACACACACACTCATACACACACACTCACACATATGCAAACAAACATGCTCACATACACACACGCAACGCACACACACATGCTCACACATACACAGACACATGCTCAAACACACGCTCACATGTGTTCATATGCATACATACATATATATGTATATATATATGTGTATGTATGTATTTCCATGCCACTGAAAGGTCTCCAAGCAGGTTGAGCATGTTCTCAGCACTTAGGAGGCTAACCTAGGATTTTGCAGCCAACCTGGGACCTCAAAGAAAGGACAGAGAGAGAGTGACAAGGAAGACGGAGGGAGAGGAAGGATGAAGGGGATAAGGAGGAGAGAGGAAGAGCTGGGGTCAACCTAGAGTCTGTCTCTGAATAAGATGCTATAGAATGAGGTACAGACGATGCGGTTATATGGGTGACAATACAAAGACATTTGGGGAGAGGGGGCTCAAGGGAAACACACTTCCATTGGTTTCCATCTACTAAGAATAAAATTAGCAAGAGACACACAGCCAATCGCAGCAGTGGTCCCTGGATGGAGAGGCCTCTGGGGGTCAGGGACTTGGGGCAGCAGTGTGAGGATGATTAAAAGGGACTTCAGCTGTAATTCTGAAGTTTTCATTTTTTAAAGAAGAAAATAGTTTTCATGTATCACTCAGAATATTAATTTGTAAGGCCTTTAAGGGGCTCAACCCTACAGAGGAGAAACTGGGAAAATTCTACAAACATGAAAGATAAACTAAAGACAGTCTGCATTTGACCAGTGAGACAGCTCAAAGGAATGGTCTGAGTGCAATCCCTGAGACCCACATGGCAGAAGGGGGAAACAGACTCCCACAAGTTGTCTTCTGACATCCTCAGATGTGTACAAGAGCATGTACACGCATACACAGATCCACACACACATCCACACACACACACACACACAATACAAATTAAAAGAAAGACTATGAGGCAATTATGGGCAGGCATTCTGGAGAAGCAGGGTGTAACAAAGGATAGTCAGACACACAAGCCTTGGGTTTTGGCATGGCTACAGAGGCTTGCTAGCATGCCTGGTCCACCCCACCCACTGATGACTGAGTTGGCTGCTCCCCATACAGACCCACCCTGAGACTGCACACAGCTGGGCCATCAGGAGAAGCATGAGCAAATGGCTAGCCCGCATCTGAAGTCATCTCTCTGTGGACTTCTGTGTAGCAACAGCGTTAGCCTGGGGAACCCCCGGAAGCTGCATGCTGTCAGACGTGCAAGGAGTTTCCTAAGCCCAGCAGGCCTGAGGTAACACGAGGTACAATGAAGGATCGATACAGGATGTTATTTATCTATCTTAGGTGGCTCGCTACAGACGCTCTGCACCAGCTGGGGAGTGAGTTGGCCTTCCTGGGCATGATGAGGCTGCTCTACCAGAGGCCTAGCCATAAAATCCCTAAAGAATACCATTTGAACACACACACACCAAATACCACACACACTTACACTATCACACCCCATATATACACACACACTTACATACACGACCCACATATCACATACACTCACATACACTTATCACACGCATACATATCACATACACTCACATACACTTATCACACGCATATCACACACAACATACTACACACTATCACAATCCATATACACACTCAAAAAACATATCACACACACATACTACACACATTATCACAATTCATATACACACTCAGATACACAAATACAACTCATATCACACACACACACACACACACACTGCAAACAGTATAGTACATATGAATATTTGTTATAATCATTTAAAGATGAATCTCCAAGTTTTCCACACACTGTGAAAAGCAATTTAGGAGTCTATCAACCGTCTGGGTATGATTTACATAAAATTTAAAGGAGAAAGCATTAAAAGAGGAATTGGTGTTCCCCAGGTGTGAGACTGTGGTTCATTAAGCAGACGTCAACTGGTTATTCTTATTTTACTGTTTCCGGCAGCACATCCTTCTGAGGTAGCATAATTTTTGAGACATAAAAGAGTAAGTTGACTTCAAAACAGCCCATCTGGAATAAATTAATTCCCACAACTAACTGGCTCAGAAGCCAGCCATCTTGTTTCAACCCTTGGTCAGAGACTTAGTCATGTTCTTACTTCTTCCCTGGAAAACTAAGACAGAAGACTCCAGATCTTTGATGAGATTTGGTCACGATACACTGCCGTATGCGACATCTCTAGTAGCAGAGACTAAGATGGGGAAGAGGGCCCTAAGAAATATTTACTCCTTAAAGAGCTTGTCATACAAGCCTGAGGAATGGCCCTGAGCTCTATCCAAAACCACTATAAAAATCCAGGCCTGGAAGGGTTTATAATCCCAGCACCAGGGGGCAGAGACAGGCGAACTCCTGGGAATCCCTGGCCAGCCATCCTGCCTGGCCTAACCACTGAGAGATCCACACCCTAATGTTGATCTGGTGTGTGTGTGTGTGTGTGTGTGTGTGTGTGTGTGTGTGTGTGTACACACATGAGTGCATGCTGTTGTGAGCCACTAAATATCTCATAGCCTATCAAGGTGCACTAAAACCATTTCTGTCCCCAAGGAGGAAATCACAGAAACCCCCTTCTCAAGGAAGGCGTCTCAGAGGATGGGCCTAGGTCCAGGAAGGCCACCGAACGAGCCCAGTATCAGGTAACAGCTGATGTGCTGTGACCCTGGGAACCAGAGACCGGCTCTGGCCACCTCGTGATTCACAGTGTAAGGGAACAGTCATCTGCTCAGGAAGAAGCAGTGACCAGAGTCTCTGGCTGAGTGATCACTTGTCACCCTCCTGAGAGTTGATGGAAAGGCCATGTCATTGTGTGGTCTCAGAAAGACACATGGGAACACCAACTTCCCCTTGCCTTGAGACTAGATGACGTTACTTCTGGAATGGAATGGAGGAGTGAATCTAAACACAGGAAAAACAGAGAGGATCACAAGATAACCCTTCTGGGGACATGGGACTGACTAGCAGAAATAACCTCCCAAATCCTCTTGTTTGCACATAACAACACATACATCAAAGCCTGGAGAAGATCAGGACACACTGTGACATGCCTCTGTCATCCTGGACACACTGTGACATGCCTTTGTCACCCTGGGACACACTATGACATGCCTCTGTCATCCTGGACACATTGTAACATGCCTCTGTCATCCTGGACACATTGTAACATGCCTCTGTCATCCTGGACACATTGTAACATGCCTCTGTCATCCTGGACACACTATGACATGCCTCTGTCATCCTGGACAAATTGTAACATGCCTCTGTCATCCTGGGGCACTCTGCGACATGCCTCTGTCATCCTGGACACTCTGCGACATGCCTCTGTCATCCTGGACACATTGTAACATGCCTCTGTCATCCTGGACACACTGTGACATGCCTCTGTCACCCTGGACACACTATGACATGCCTCTGTCATCCTGGACACACTATGACATGCCTCTGTCATCCTGGACACACTGTGACATGCCTCTGTCACCCTGGACACACTATGACATGCCTCTGTCATCCTGGACACATTGTAACATGCCTCTGTCATCCTGGGGCACTCTGTGACATGCCTTTGTCATCCTGGACACACTGTGACATGCCTCTGTCATCCTGGACACACTGTGACATGCCTCTGTCATTCTGGGACACACTGTGACATGCCTCTGTCATCCTGGACACACTGTGACATGCCTCTGTCACCCTGGACACACTATGACATGCCTCTGTCATCCTGGACACACTGTGACATGCCTCTGTCACCCTGGACACACTATGACATGCCTCTGTCATCCTGGACACATTGTAGCATGCCTCTGTCATCCTGGGGCACTCTGTGACATGCCTTTGTCATCCTGGACACACTGTGACATGTCTCTGTCATCCTGGACACACTGTGACATGCCTTTAGCATCCTGGCACCAATCCTGAAGGGCACCAAACACAGATGTGACATGGCGTGATCATTTTAAGAACATCCTTCCCTTCGAGTTTCAGGGGCAGCTGGGAGACTGTCCCCATGGTCCAGACGACAGACACTAGCACCCAAGTGGGATGGTTATGGGCTCTGTTTTCGAGGTAGACTCTTCATGATGTCTGAGCGACAGGTTGTGGGGTGCAAAAGGAAGAAAGTAGACGATATGATTCCAAGCATTCTTGTCTTTGAAGCTAAGGGAATGGATGAAAATGCCACAATCCTGACGGGGAATAGTTAGGTTGGCACAGGTTTGACAGGGCAAGAGAAGACTGAGAATTCAGTTTCATCTATCTTAAATGTGACATATCCCGCTGACATCTGTGTAGAAACTACCCAGTTGAAAGTATATTCAAATTTGAAGCGGGGCTATAATTCAGTTGGTAGACTGCTCGCCAGCATTTGCAAAGCCCTCGGTTTAATCTCCCCTGCTGCATGACCAGGCACAACACACCTGAAATCCCAGTACTCAGGAGACAGGAAAATCAGATGTTCAAGGTCATACTCCACCATAGGACACGCTCAAGAGCAGCCTGAGATACAGGAGGGAGGGAGGGAGAATAAACACAAACACTATCAAGTCAGGTGGCTGGAGACGTAGTCCAAAGATCATCAGTGTCCACACAGCCACACAGTATTTAAGGCCTGGGCCCAAAGATCATCAGTGTCCACACAGCCACACAGTATTTAAAGCCTGGGTCCAGCTGAGATCTTCACAAAGTCTCAAGAGTTTTTACTGAAGAACTCAGAGAAACAGGGAATTCTATAACACAGCTATCTGAGGAGACTTGTTTCTGGAAGTCAATTAAGGAAGCTTGTCACTGAGGACGTAGAAGCTGCCCTGTCAATTGATTGT